GGCAGGAGGGTTTTTGTTGCCGGGGGCCCCGGGAGCCCCGTTTAGCCCTGCGGGGAAAGGAGAGAGGGACCGAGACCGAGAGAGAGAGAGGGAGAGGGTGGGGGGGGGGGGGGAGACAGCGAGGGACAGGCAGACAGCGAGAGATCGGCAAACAGACATAGGTGGAGCAGGGGGAGCAAAAACTAAGGCGGCACACTATACCGCTAGCGACAAGGGCGGGGTATTCCGTTAAAAACCCGCAGGAGAACTTCGTCCCCGACTGATATCGTAGCGTTCGCCGGCGCACACGAAACGGAAGAGGCAATGGCGGCCGGAACTAGCAAGGGGAGAGAGAGAGAAAGCTCACCTCCGGAGCCGTCGAGCGTGTCCATGACCGCGCACAGAAGCTCCGCCGAGGGATCCTTGGACAGCAACGCCTCTTGCTCTTGCTGCCGCTCAGCTTGGTTCCTCCTACTCCCGCTCCTCGCCGGCCCCAACCGCCGCCGCTTCTCGAACAGGAACAGCAGGTCGAGCAAGACCCGGCGGGCGAAGTCCACCAAGAAACCGCGGCCACCACCGCCGCCTCTTCCGCCCCCGACATCCTCCTCCTCCTCCCACCCCACCGGTCGCGACGCCGGACCACCATTCCGCTTACCCCCACCGACAACGACAGCCTCGTCTTCTTCTACCGCGGTCATGAGGGAGAGCCAGTCCAACAGGTGGACGTGAAGGGCTGCGCAGGCCCCGAACAGGGCTGAGCGGCCGCCGCCAAGCCCCGGGTTTTCCGCCGGCCGCACCGCCGCCGCCGCCGCCGCCGTCAGCGAGAGCCCCGGGAAATCCCTCTCCCCGTCGTCCTCGCCCCCGCCGCCGCCGCCCTGACCAGGGGCGCACGCCTCCGCCAGGCGTCTAACTGCGGTGGCTACGGGTCCACTGCGACTGTAACAGGACGACGGCTCCTGGTGGTGTGGAGACGACGATGGCCTTAGGTGCTGTGGTTGTCCACCGCCAACGGCACCGGCACCTCCGCCGCCTGCCCCCCCGAGCGACGACGGTGAGGCGGCGGCTTCAGGAGAGTGGGCGCGGAGGAGCGTCCGGCGCAGCTTCGCTCCGACGACGGCCATGGTCTCGCAGCATTCCTCTGCCAGGGCTTCCGCTTCCGCCTATTGTAGGTGGGAGGGGGGTTCGTTGTTGGCAGTATAAGCGGTCAGGGATGGGCTGCGGGGGGGGGTTGGGGGGGGGGACCGATGGGCTAGGACATGTTGCTATCAACGTACTTCGTCTGCCAACGTGTTCGGTGGACAAGCGGTAGTTCGGGGCATCTAGAGCAAGGGATTGCCCGAGCGCTCCAGCGGAAGGCCTTCTTGAGTTGAGAGTGCCGACGAATCGGGCCTGCGACATGCCCGACGGGGCGGGTTTATCTCCTAAGCTTCTACTTGTTTCTTGTCTACTACAGCGATGTGTCACGCAAGTCACCTCATGTGGTGCATATCACGAGAAATAACATGTCAACAGTAGTAGTCATTACTCACAGTCGAACATAACGAGCCAAGTCTTAGCGGGACACGAGCCAGAAGGGCAAGCGCCAGGGAAAGAACGAGCAAGGCGGCCGAAAACAAAAAAAAAAAAAAAACTGGTACCTCGTCTTGCAGACCGTGCGACCTCGCGAGCTCCTCCACGTCGGCCATCCGTTGCGGCAACATGCCCAGCGCTCGAGCGATCTCTCCACCGTCGCCACTACTGCCACCGCCACCATCGCTGCCGCAAGTCGTGTCTTGAGCCACGAAGCACGGGTCGACGCCGCTCGCCTCAAGCATGCGGCCGCTGCTGCCGTTCATGCCGACCGCCGCAGTCGTGGCAGAGCAAGTTTTCTTCCAGACGGTGACGGAACAGGGCAACCCGCCGGGGGGGGGAGGGAAGGGGGGGGGGGGGGGCGCCCGC